GGAACTAACATTCTGTTTGGCAGCTAAACTACCTCACCAAAAGGATTTTTTTTCTGATGTGGTGATTTTTAAAAAAATGTTTTATGTATGAGTTTACCACACAAACCATTCTCCATATAAACAAGAGTTGATAAATATCCCACACCTGTGGTCTGCCATCTCAGAAACAAATATATCAATTTGCCATAACTTGAAGGGGATGGGCGGAGTAAGACTGACTTTTTTTACTATTGTCTCACAGTGAAATATAAGAGTTTACCACACAAACCATTCTCCATATAAACAAGAGTTGATAAATATCCCACACCTGTGGTCTGCCATCTCAGAAACAAATATATCAATTTGCCATAACTTGAAGGGGATGGGCGGAGTAAGACTGACTTTTTTTACTATTGTCTCACAGTGAAATATAAAATGCACTTTTCAAAGTGGCCCCTCACTATACCGAATCACAAAGGCCCCTGAATTGCTTTTCCTTGGAATGAAACTGATTTTGCAGTGAAATCTTCCAACCTCTGTTGCTGCTTTCTGGCAGGTAAAAAATAGCAGAGAGCAAAAATTACACAACATGTTGTGTCAGCAAACAATGGAATAGTCTTGACTATTTCTCCTTTAAAATAAACAGTTCAGCTGTCGAACAGCTTGAGATTCAGACCAAGCTGGAAACCCCTCAAGACCCATCAAAGGTAAAAGCTTTTCTCCAAACCTCAAAGACGTGATAGTATTTCAGATGTTTTTGACAGAATGACCATTCATTGATTTCAGAGCTATCAGAATCCAATTGAAGTAGGTACGGATGTAGGCAAAACATACTTCATATGTTCTAAAACACCAACAGGTACAAATTGCTAATATCTGCTGTATATCAAAATACATATTGGATAACTCACCAGGAAGATGAATCAATTTATTCCGCAGCTACATATTTAGTGAGTTCCTTAAATTACTATATCCCTACATCTTAAAATAGATTTAAGTGACATGATAAATCAAGGTGTCTTTTCCAGACCTGTTTCACAATAGTATTAATTTTATTTTGGTTTTTTCCAATGTGAAAATGTAGGAAACCATCTGTTTCTTCTGTATGCTTCCTTTCAAGCTTGCAAACCCCCTAGATAATTCAATGAGACTGACTTTTTAACTCTTTAACTTCTGGAACGTGCCTCCTACCAACAAAGGAGCATGTGCGTGCATATCTTGCTCATTACTGTCTTTCCTACTCTTTCAATTTCTAGGCCCTGATACCAGATATTCTCAAGGACCATAAAAAGGGGCAACAAAATTTCAATCCAAGATTTTGCAGAATCTCTGTCCTGTTAAACATGCTAGATATTTTAAGGAACTCAGAAAAAAGGAAACATTAATGCAGAATTGCATTTGAACCAAGTGTAATGTTTCAAAACACAGTCACAAAGGAAACAGAAGGTTTCAAGAAGCTACTGAACAAAACATGCTGCATTTCTGTATCACTCTAACCGTGCAATCCTATGTAGAGTTACTCCGAACTAAACTTGTTGATTCCAGTGAATTTAGACTGAAATAACTCTGCATAGGATTGCACTGTAAATCTAGGCTCTGTCAGTCAATAGAATGCAGATACTAGCTCCCACGTTACTGTGATAGTATATTGAGAATGAATGTTCTTCACATACCAAGACAGAAAGAATGGCTTTAGGTTGTCTTATTAAAATCAGTAAAGAGAAGTGACTACTGAAACTGGCATTCTGACAGATTAATACAGGCAAAGTAACATAAAGCAGTGCAGAAAAAAATTAAGTCAGAGTGTGAGCATGTAATAATTAGTTCTGTACTTCAGAATGAAAGTCGGTGTTCTGTTTTTAATCGTTGGAAGAATCAGACTAATTTCTGTCAAATAAAGTACAATAGTGCACAGGTGAAAACTACAAAACATGTTCCCCTCCACCATCCCCTCTGTGCCTATTCCCTTCCTGCTGTCTTTCTACCATATCTGATCTCTTTTTCTTTCCCCATTCTCCCTTGAATACATATGCATAGGCACTCTCTCTCATACACAGCCCTTCTGAACAGGAGTGACCATCATGGTGAATCCACCTTACGTTTTGTGTGTTCAAGACATTTCTGTCTACTACCTATTCAAGTTTTTCAGTAAGCAGTACTTTAAGCATGGAATGCAGCCCTGGCTCTGCCTTAGTCTCAGGGTTCTAAGAAATCTAATTGCATGAGAACACCAAACTGTAAACAAAGAAAAATTCAGGGAGGTGATTCTAATAGTCAGCTCACTGAGACAGTTATAAAATACACTGTTCCATTAGCTTATTTTAATTAAACCTGCTTTGTGTGCATACACATGCCAATCCATTGAAGTGACTGGGACACCATTGCACATAGTTCTGCATACATATCAGTGTGCCTGCACTCACAAGGAGACACTCTCCCCAGCTGCAACTGAGTGGATTGAAAATTTAGATATTAATATTTAGGGGGATTGCCCAATTGGTCTGCATATCTATTGTATCAGCTTGGTTACAAATGTTATATTATATACTTCCTGTGTGTAACTTTGTCATCCAATAAATAAAATAAATAAATACTGGATCTCAGCAAACTGAATTCTTCCATTCATCTGCCCTAATAGTATGGTTCCCACTTGGGAAATTCCTGGAGATTTGGGGGTGGTATCTGAGGAGTACGGAGTATGGGGAAGGTACGGAGCTCAGTCCACCCTCTGAAGCCGCCATTTTCTCCAGGGGAACTGATCTCTGTAGAATGGAGTACAATTTTAATTCTGGGAGAACTCCAGGCTCCACATGGAAGCTGGAAACCCTACCTGATACAGAGGGCTTTTCCAGGACCTCCTGCCATCTAGCTTCTCATGATTTTCTCATCATAACCACTAATATAGTTCCAAAGAAATAATCACATATGATTTAAGAATGCCACTTCAGTGAAGCAGAGGGAGATTCATAGCAAGGATGTGTGCTCTGGGATGTATTCAAGTTGAAAAAAGTGTAAAAACCTGTGCATTTGAAGAGAATTTTCAGAAATGGTTTTCAGATCTTCTTTTTTTCTTTCTGTCAAATGCCAGTGAGATAACCTAATGGATGTAGCTTACAGAATAGAGCCCCCATCCTGCTCCAGTACAACCATTCCAGTGTTGGAAGAAAGGAGAAGGGTGAAGACTTACCCAGGACATTTTTGCACTTACTTATCCCAACCTAGAAAGCACATAAAAACTAAACTTATTTTAAACACACGGGAAATCTTATTAATTGTCCTTATTTTGACTACATTTCTGAAACTCAACACTCATTTTAAGAGAGATTTGATTTAAGCAGGCAAATTAGATTCAGTGAATTTTCTGATCCGAAACACTGATAAATTACTCACAATGTTCATCAGTGTCAGAAGATACTTCTGAACATGTTCTTTCCCATGGAACTGTACAACAGAGTCATCAACACCCAGCAGGACTTCTATGTTGTAATCATCATCAGCTGCATGCCTTGGATATCTCCTCTTCCTTCTGGAATTATTGATCTCATCATCTAAGAGGTTCAACATGCTGTCTAGATTGCTTAGGTCAGCTTCTGAAAGAAATTGCAACAAAAATAATTTATTAACAACTCATTAAACTAAATTTAAGAAATGTTTAATGATGCCAAAAAAATCGTATTCCAGTTTCAGTTTTGCACAAACTTGAAGCAAGCCTATCAAATTCACTTGGATAAAGCAGAGAAAGTCTATTCCAGAGCAGATCTGCATGGACAAATAAGTAATCTAATGTGTACAGGGAATTTTGTAGATGTACAGTGGTGGGAGTGAATCATTTCCCCCCTGATTGAGGTGCAGCCATAGTTCTTTGGGCCAGTCGATTGATCATAATCCACAGTGGAATGGACATAGTCTGTTCTGAGGTGCAGCCATAGTTCTTTGGGCCAGTAGTTCTCAACCTGCCACAACTGAACACCACTGAAAAGGGTAGTGTATCTCCATCACAGCCTCCTGACGCCTTCCAGTGAAGGCACCACATTTCTTGCTCCCTTCAGCAGCATTTGGTGGTAGGAGTGGGAATCCTCCCAGGAACCCACCACCCAAGGTGTTGCTGTACAACAGAGAGATAGGATTTGTATTTGTAACAAGAAGAGTTATAGAATACTGAGTACTCTTAGAGATACATATGTCATTATGCAACAAATCCAACTTTCTGAAGTGCCATCTCTTTGTTCTTTCAAAATCCCCTTACATTCAGATGTGAAGAATGTGAGAAATAAAAAGACATGAGTAGCATGACTTTGGTAACTGCATTCAGTATTATGGAGATTTTGTAGGATAATTCACACAACTGCAATACCACTAGGAACAGATAACATTTTTTTGCTTATCTCCGCATACTGATATTCTAGTAATTTGAATTATTAGAAACAGTAGGGCAGAGACACTTGTGAATATCTCTGCCACCTAACTGATACCTGGGGTGAACTTCTGTTCTCTCTTTTATTTCTGGTATTTTAGCCTGAGTGCGGCCACAAGAAAGAGTCAAAGTGTAAGAGCCAAAGCACCTTTAGCCCATAGTTGGCAGTCTGAAGCCCTAAGTTGGCAGTGCCAGGTGGATCTAGGACTAGCCAGGATGTTGGAGTTCTATAATTTTTTTGGTTTTGTTTCTTTATAAACTGTTTAATAAGCCACTTTTAGAATAGTGGGTTAGAAATTCTTAAATAAATATGAAATAAGTAAAGGACATATACAAATACAAAAAAGTTTACTCCAAATAAAAAAAAGCACAAATGAACGAATTACCAGCAATTGCAACTGAAAAATGCAGGGCTATTTTTGGGCAGGAACGCACAGGAACGGAGTTCCGGCTGGCTCCCAAGTTGGCCACGCCCAGCAGGAACTCATTAGCATAATAGGCCACACCTAACAACAGAAACTCATTAGGATTGGCTACATTAGGGGTGTGTGGCAAAGGGTTCCTGCTACAAAAAAAGCCCCTGGGTTTTGACAACAAACAAGGTAAACAGAATAAGAAGCAAAAGGTGGGTGTGGCTGGATGACCACACTTCTGGTAACATGGGGGTGTGGCCTAATATGCTAATGAGCTGTGCTGTCAGGGATGTGGCCTAATAGGCTAATGTGTTTCTGATGTTGGGTGTGGTCTATTATGCTAATGAGTTCCTGCTGGGCTTTTTCTACTAAAAAAGCCCTGGAAAAATGTATCATGTAATGCTAATATATAATACATGAATTTCAAAGAGCCTCAAGGGGTAAGCAGTCACTTGCAAGATATCTTGACAGCCAGTTGAGTCCCAAAGCTTTGGCAGTTCTTTTAAAATATACGAATAAGTGCCTTAGTAGTGGCTGAGCTTCACAGGACACATTATTTTATTTTATTTTTTATTTTTCAGATTTTTATCCTGCCCTCCTGGCTGAAGCTGGCTCAGGGTGGCTTACATAAAAACAACTTACATTAAAACAGAGTTGCAGTTAAAACAGTTATAAAATCATAATAAAGTGCTAGTAATTATTGGTATTCATATGACAGTAGCAACCAATATACAAAGTTCTCCGCTCGCAGTCAGTTCTCAGTGTTCATTTTGAGTGTCCTTGCAGGGCTTGCTGTTCTTTTAGGCTTTTGATGGCAATTTCCAGAGTCCAGGATCCTCTCCCTTTTAACCAACTGATGTTCTTCATTGGTGGTGGCGGCTCCCAAATGCCTGGCAAAAGAGCTCCATTTTACAGGCCCTGCAGAACTGTAAAAGGTCCCACAGGGCCCTGATCTCCTCCAGGAGCTCATTCCACCAGGATGGGGCCACCACTGAAAAGGTCCTGGCCCTGGTCGTTGACAGCCTAGCATCCTTAGGACCCGGGAGGTCCAGCCAATTCTGGACCCCCGACTGCAGTGCTCTCTGGGGGACATATGGGGAAAGGCGGTCCCTTAGGTATGTAGGGCTTTAAAGGTAAGAACCAGCACCTTGAAACAAATCCGGTATGCTATCAGCAGCCAGTGCAATGCCTTCAGCACAGGCTGTATGTGCTTCTACCTAGAGAGCCCCATCAACAGCCTGGCCATGGCATTTTGCACTAGCTGCAGCTTCCGGATTTGAGACAAGGGCAGCCCCATGTAGAGAGCATTACAGTAGTCCAGTCTTGAGGTGACCATCGCATGGATCACTGTCACCAGGTCATTGCGTTTGAGGAAGGGAACCAACTGCCTGATTAGCCAATATGAGATAGTGTCTTGGAGTCAGATGCAAACTTTCATCAACATTGCTCTCCATGCCAGCAGTCCTCTTCAGCAACCAGAAAGAAGATTCCTGGACTTGTGAAGCCATGTGAATGAAAAGCCAGGGACTCTGTTTTGTGTTGGGAGCATATTGCAGAGCGGGAAGGGATGGAACTGCTCCTCCTCCTCCTGATGCCCAACAGAGTGCATGGCTTTTTGTTCACATGGGTCCCAGGTAATTCCAGGAACTGTGATTGGTAATGTGGGAAAACCTGCATCTGCTAGCCATTTTTGCTGAAGGTGAATGGCATCCAAACCCAATGTAAATGACAGGAAGAACAAACTTGACTGAGCAGTCTCTTGACTGAGAGCCACATGCTTTTCCTCAAGGAACTATTACTCAGTGCACAGAGGCTACACATGTAGGTTCCATTCTCACGTGCCTTCCCCTTTACCCTGGTGCTGGGAGTGGGACCTTTAAGTTAATGTATACACAAGCATGCCTTGTACTGATATTCAGAAAACAGGAGACATTTGTCTAATAACTCTGATTTCACTGACTACAAAGGAGATAGGAAATACGTGGTAAGAGAGAAACAATTTCAAAATGCATCTAGCAACAATACTTCCCAGTGTAAGGACTTGTAATGTCCAAATTTATCCCACCCACGGCGAAGTTTCTAGAACCCACCTGCAAGCCTTCCCAAGAGAGGGGACAGTGAGGGAGGAAGTAGGAAAACAAGGCTGGCAAGGGATAAGGAAGGATGAGCAAATAGGAAGGGCATGCGGGGGAGTGCATCAGGGCAAGATGACTCAGAGGAGAGTATTTTAGCTGACAGTCCTCTTTTGATAACAGCTGTCTAACATTTGTTAATCCTTCTATTCAGGGGTCATTTCCTGCAGGAGTGCACAGGAACGGAGCTCCGGCAGTAAAGAGCCTGGGGGCGGGCACATGCAACAAGCCCCACCCCCTGCTCCCAGCAGCCCTCACTTAGAGCAAGAAGCAGCCAGGTAAGCTGCAGAGCCCCCCCGGCCCCCCGGCCCCAAACAGTCCAGTGGCACCTTTAAGACCAAGTTTTGTTCAGGTACAGGCTCTCCCTCCTCTGCGAGGACAGTTCTACACGTTTCCCCTCCCCCCAATAGCTAGCAATCCAAAACAGTCCAGTGGAGCCTGAGTGGTGGGCGTTGCCTTCTGACATACTTCCGGTGATGTCAGGGGGTGTGGCATATGCAAATAAGTTATGCTAATGAGTTGTGCTAATGAGCTCCTGCACCTCTTTTTCTACGAAATGACCCCTGCTTCTATTCCCCAAAAGTGATCATTACACTGTCATTTAATATTGATTTCTGATATAACTTAAAAAATGTGATGGGGCATCTGGAAAAACAAAATACCTTGGAGACCCCCTTAATTGTGCCAGGTGAGTTTCAGTGCAATTGAAGTGTGGTTTACCAGGTAGATTTCTTTGCTTAGCAGAAGTGTACACCAAAGTAATGGTTTTCTATAGTGTTCTTCAACTACAGCTATAATATCTTCAGGATTGTTTCATCCTTGATGGGGTAGTACTTTTGCTCTTTGGCAGAGTAAAATAATTTTGTAAAGGTTATCATGTTATTTGTACACATGGTTTGTATTGATTCTTTTTCATGATCCGGAAACAAATATCATATAACTGAGTACCATCTAATCTAAGTAAGCCTTCTTCATACCCTGTACAAGATATTTATCAGAGGACTTGAGAACAGGACCTTTAAAATTGCTTCAGGTGGCCTGGAAGCTGTGTGAGCTGTGTGATCTGGCATCAGTGATTCATGCTTTTGGTGCCCTCACCTGCAGAAGTGAGCTGAGTGGAGACCAGAGACAAAGCTTTTTCAGCCATAGCACCTCACCTTTGGAATGCTCCCCCCATCGGGATTAACCTGGTGCCTACTTTACACTATCCTTAAGCTTGCCATTCCTCATAAAGGACAGTATTATAACACAACAGAAAGACCAGATGAGATGTAAAAGATCTGTGTAAGGGAAGAATGGGGGGAGAAGAGTACAGGAATTGTACACCACTTCCAGTTTCATACCCCAAATGATGCCATGGTGTCATGTGACACTCTAGGAATTTCTCCAAATCTCTAAGGCTTTTACCATAGAGATTTTGAAAACTCCTAGAATGTCATGCAATGCCAGTTCTTCCCCTTACTGCATCCCCACTTGCTCCATCAAGCAGTAATGGGGCCCCAAAGCTAGGGCAGAAATTGCCCATCAAGGTGGGCAACCTGGCATCCTGCTTGGAAAGGACATGATATCTTTCAACATTAGTGATCAGCGATGAGGACAAAAATTATTGAGATGTCTTGATGTCTTTAAAT